GTACCCCTTGATTTACTCAGGAGATGCACCCAATATCACTGGTGGATTTAACAGCTCCATATCGAGGTATATATATTATTGTTTTATTTTAATTAAAATGTTTATAACCAATCATCAAAACTATTCTAATTATTACTCGTCCGATCCTAAATGTAAGACTCTTATACTAGTGTGTATAAAGGGTCTTGTATTTAGGACCGGAAGAGTATTATTATTGTTTATTTTTGGACAGTTCTTGCGTTCAGAACTCTTTAGATGAAGCAGTGGTGAAGGGGAAGATTGTTATGCGTGATTCTTTTCCGCTCAATAATGATGCACAAAGGGCTGGGGCCATTGGTGTCGTCGTTTCAATGATTTTCTCAAAGGATGTGGCATATGCCTTTCCTTTTCCTCTCACTTTGATTACCCGGAAAGAAGGCAAATCCATTCCCTCTTACTTAAATTCAACAAGGTATACATCCATCCAATAACAAACAGCATCTCCATATGAAATTTTGCTATAGCTTCATCGATATTTCTTATTAATTTTGTTAATGTTTCTTTGTTCTAATCATCTCCCAAATATTTTGCAGTAATCCGACAGCTACTATATTTAAGAGCTATGAAGGCAAAGATTTCTTGTCCCCATACGTAGCTTACTTTTCATCAAGAGGTCCGAATCCAATTACTCCCGACATTCTCAAAGTACGGTCGTACGTTCACAACAACTTATAAGCAGTACTTGTATAGACGTAGCAACCTTCTTCAAGAAATAATATTGATTCAAACTATCTAATTGTTCTTCTTGTTGTACGTAGCCTGATATAACTGCCCCAGGAGTAGATATCTTAGCCGCTTGGCCTCCCAAGTCCCCTGTTTCGACTGTGAAAGGAGACAAGAGGGAATCAAACTTCAATATAATATCAGGAACTTCAATGGCGTGCCCTCATACTTCTGCTGCAGCTGCCTACGTCAAATCGTTTCACCCCAACTGGTCCCCAGCAGCAATAAAGTCTGCCCTAATGACTACTGGTAATATATTACTAATCCACTAACCTATCGACTCGCCTTTAATTAATCACGTAGATTCGCAAAGCCCCGGTTTTTCTTTTCCTACGATTATTTCATGCTTCTTTCTCATGCACACGCATATATTGTAGCCGCTCCCATGAATCCTGAGCTCAACGCGGAAGCTGAGTTTGCATATGGAGCTGGACAGATCAATCCCATCAGGGCACTGTCTCCTGGTTTGCTATATGACATCAGTGAATCAGATTATGTGAGGTTCTTGTGTGGACAAGGTTATGATACAAAAACATTACGGCGCATTACACATGATGTCATCAACTGTAAGAAAATTAAGAATGAAACAGTGAGGAATCTCAATCTCCCATCCTTCGCTTTTGAGACAAGCATCTCAAAAAGTTTTAGCGTTGTGTTTCATAGGACTGTGACAAATGTTGGTGCACCTGTGTCGGTATACAAGGCTAAAGTGATTGTTCCTTCATCCCTGTTAACTATTCAAGTGACACCAGACGTTCAGCCGTTCTCATTTGTGGGTGAGAAAAAATCTTTCAAAGTTACGATTGAAGGACGCATAAATGTGCGGATAGTCTCTGCGTCTTTGATTTGGGATGATGGCAATGTGCAAGTGAGGAGCCCTATTGTAGTGTATGATCTTAGACTCAAGTAGTGTCCATCATCAGCCTCGCTACATGTGTTGTCCCATGGAAAGAAGAAGAAAAATCTTGGTGCGTAGAGCGGACTTCGTGCTACCGGCAAATGATGATTCGTACTTGAGTGTCTTTCAATTACTCGGAGAATAAACACGCCCAGTCTGTTATGTTGTGTTTGTTTTTTTTTTTTTTTTCCCTGGTAATGAAAGGGGCTATTATATTGCGTTTAATTTTATGAATTAATGTTTCATTGTAGACTTCTATATAAGATAACGAGTGGTGCATGTGTGCGTTTAAATATCATATATATAAAGATAATCAGTGTACGCATTCCTATGGAATGATTTTCCTCCCAAATTTTAAGAATTTTTACTTAGCAACGGTTTTGTTTAAAACTGCAATACATGCCCTTTTGAACTTAAATAACTTGATGCCTTGAAGAAGTAAGCAGATATTTTTCCTTGCAGTTTTATGAGTGGCTTTTTAATAGATATACACCAGTTATACGTAGAAGTGTAACTATTAGAAAAGACAGAAGGAAAGAGGATGAGATGGGAAGAAGAGACACCCCTCCCAACACAATGCATTACTACTATATACAGTCTCTAATTCCCTATATGAGAACAAGAAAATTTATTCACAACAGTCATATTTTATAAATATTATTCAACTTTTCCCTGTTCTGAAAAGTGAAAAAATTATTTTTTTAACTAATATTTTGAAATATTAATATATAATTTTCTGTATTAGAATTAATTTTTATATTATTTTATCACTAGATGACGAGTTGGAATTGAAGGGGAGAAAAAGGAAATTAAAGCCACGAAAGACCATAAACATGCTGGAAGTTATAGAACTTATAGAGAGGGTACTAGTTTTGGGTCATGTTTGTGTAGAGGCCCAAGGAAATGAAGATAGGGAGTGGTGATTTTCTAGTGTTTGGTGCAAGGAAGAAATTCTCCCCAAGGCTAACAACTCTCCCTCAAATGAAGGAGACGCCTTTCCATCAATAATCCGAGGGAAACTCTCCGCAAGGGAGTGTTTCTGAATTCACCAGCTTAACCCTTGTTATTTGTAATATTCCCATTGTGCCCTCATCCCCTTCCTAGTCTCTACCATAAACTACACCACGGGCAAAACCATCTCTGAAACTTTCCGTCACACCAAGTTGATGGCCAGAAGCATTGAACTCACAAACAAAATCAAAACACAATATCTGCAAAATATATAATCAAACAAATATTTAAAAGAAAAGCTGAGAGAAATATGCAAAGGGAAGAGGAGGAGGAGAAAGAAGTAGAAGAGATAACGAATGATCATTTTGAATTTGTTTATGTTGTACATGTGTTGGAGGTTCCATTTTGGAGGCTAGCTAAGTGCATGTCATATATTAACAATTGATGAAAATTTAGAATGAACAGCATTATTGCCAACATTACCCTCGACATGAAATGGAAGATATTTTAGGAATGTGTATGGTAATAGTAATTTCTGTCCCATCCGCTTAAGATGTTAACTAGTGACTAGACACACACACATGTAATAATTCTCCCTTTTTTTGATTAAAAAGCAAAATGATTCTCCCCTTAACATTGTGAGATTAAATCTGCACGTCCCGCTCAAGCGCACAGTTTGTGGTTTTGGCCTTGTCTTACCCAAATCCTTTATCATATTATAATTCCTTATAGAAAAAGCATCTTCCAAAGGCTAAAGCAATCTGACCCGTATAAAAGTAAATTTACAAGGACATCAATTATTGTGAACTTTTGAATAAAGTATTATCTATACATTGACTCCATTATAGCGTGGGGTTTTAGTCTTCCATGACCCGCTTCTCTCTCTCTCTATATATATATATATCAAGCCTTGTTGGGTTTGAAATCCATCTCACTAAATTGTTCAACTTTTGATTATGTAGATCTTATGAGGGTAGTATCGATGACACGTGCATTATAATTGATAATAAAAGCCACATACACACATAAATAAATTAAAATGTTCAAAACATCATCGGAGCAAAGAAATGCAAAAGCATCATATTTCTACAAACACTAATAAGACTCATTTCTCCATCCCATCTTTATAAATCCTAAAACTCACATCTTATTGTCAAAAAATTTAATTAATTTGACCAACACGTGCGAGTGCAGAACAGTATATGTGGATAAGCCCATATATATTTTTATAGGTAATTCTATTTATAGGGTTGGCCTTTTAATGAAAACACTGATGTTAACAAGTATAAATAACCTAGCTAGTAGCCCAGTTTCAATTTTTAGCTATGGTAAATTAATTTGATTTCCACTTTGAGTTCTCTCTTTTTTTTTTGGCCGTTTCTGCGCTTTGAGCTAGTTGAGTTCACACCAAACCAACTCACTAGTTTAGTTCACACTTAACTATAACCCATATGGACATAATGTGTTTTACTACTTCTCCTGTCCTTAATATAGGACTTAATTGTTGAGTTGATTTTGGTTTCAAATTAAGATTTATTTTTCATATTTATTAATTTTTTTAAATTACTCTTATGGATACTCTCTCAATTATAATTAAGTAGAAAAGGAAGAGAGGATATTAAGAAAGATGATTATAGTATTTTAGGAAAAACATGTCATATTTCTTATAATTAACTAACTTACCTAACTTCCATAATCTAATCAAATTAATTATATAAGTCTTCTATTAAGAACCGAATGAGTATTTATTTGCAAGCATTTCAGAAATGGGGTCTGATACAAGTTTGATGGAATTAATACTAAATATATTAGAAATTCTTTTCTGTTTTGTAAAGAAAAGTGAATTTTAACACCGTTTGGAAAATCGGACGAGTCAAAACATTACCAAAAGGCAGTACTTATTTTTGAGTTAGAGGGCGGGATCGAACCCGCATTACACACACCCACGCACACACCCACGCCACTGGGCCAACAGGCCGGTGGTACCAAAAGGCAGTACTTTAACGATTAAAAAAAGACATCTCGATGTAAGTCACGGATTTAAAAGGGACAGCACCTTTTTTTTAAAACAATAAATGAATACCACTATTAATCATAATTGAAGAGAAAAAGTTAAAATCTTTAGACTTTAGTGAAATCATATCAGATCAAACAAATAAATTGGGGGGGGGGGAGAAAAGATAGATCAGGACCCGCATTATGAAAAGCAAATTCGGATTTTCTACCCAAAAAAATGTGAACCGTGCATGTGTGATGGAAACTGGGGCACCAAGCATGGATCCTTTTCCTATAAATATACCATCTGACAGGTTGCTTCAGAAACATCAAAACCAAAAGATCTGTCGTTTCATTTAGCAAATAAAAGCATGCTTTCTCTGAGCTCCACGCATCTCCTCTTATCTTGTTTTTTTCAGTATTCTTATTATTCAGACACACTGCGATGATCGAAAGGTAAACTAATGTCTCTCTGTCATATATTGATCGATTAATCTATTTCATAATTTTCTTTACAATATATGAAGTCACGATCTTCATATATTGCTTCTCATCACTCTGTTTTCTTTATGGGTTTACCATTTGTTTAATCACTTTTTGGATAGACGTATGTCGTGTAGATGGGGGATCTCCCGAAGGGAATCGAAGTCACAGAATTGCATCACATGAGCATGGTTCAAGGAGTCCTTGGGAGGTTCTGACTACTCATTAGTCATCGTTGGCCAATTAATGAAGTAATTGTAGTTTTATATTCGGTGATCACTGACTAATAATTCATTAGAGGGTTATTCGATTCCACCGTACGTTCCTTGCACGTTAAAAGATAGATTATCCGAAAGAGGGCTTTGATGTAGAATAATTAAGAGACTCACGACAGTCCCAAATGGTTATGTTTTAGAAACTTTGCACCAGAAGCTTTGGTCCACAGCTACAGGAAGAGTTTCAATGGCTTTGCAGTGAGGCTAACAAAAGAGGAAGCCAAAAGAGTGGGCGGTACAGTTTATATATCCTTTTTTTCTTTTTTTCTTTTTTTTAATTTCCTCTTCATCTATATATAAACAAGCCAAATTTATATATATTAGGAATGGATGGTATAATCTCTATGTTTGAAAGCAAAAGGCACAAGGCCCAAACAACGAGGTCGTGGGACTTCATAGGGTTCCCACAGCAAGTCAACAGAGCAAGTTTGGAGAGCGACCTCATCGTCGGAGTAATCGATTACGGAATTTGGCCAGAGTCTCACAGCTTTAAGGATCAAGGTTTCGGTCCGCCGCCCAGAAAGTGGAAGGGCTCTTGCCAAAACTTCACTTGCAATAAGTACATGCCCATACATTTTCACTGTCTCAAAACATCTCTTCAAATTAAAGAAATGTGTTTTACTTGGAGGGGAAAAAAAACGAATGGGACCTACGAACTGGAAAACCAACAAGCTGATGGTGTTTAATTTGGTCTGGTCCAAAGTAAGGGGATTTGAAATACTAGTTGACTAATTTGAGTGGATTAAGAAAACTAGTTAAATTAGTTATTTATAATAAATATGTGTTATCTTTTCTAAAATATCCTTAACAATCATATATTGGCAAAAATTATCATTATTATAATAATTACCTTAAAAAAATAGATAAATATGAGAGACAAAATAAACTAGGATCTTATATTTAATACCAAAATAAAAGTCAAACGAGCTCTTACATTAAGGACAGGAAATGAATAATTATATATGGGTATATTACTCCTCTGATCCTTAATATATGATCTAATTATTGAGTTGATTTTGGTCCTAAATATAAGACATATTTCTCGTATTTATCGATTTTTTCTTAAATTGCCCCTATGGATACTCCCTCAACCATGATCAAGTAAAAGAGAGAGAGGGAGAATATAAGAAAGATGATTATGGTGTTTTAAAAAAAACATGTCATATTTCTTATAATTAACTAACTTATCTAACTTTTTTAATCTAATCAAATTAATTAAATAGGTTTTATATTAAGAACCATAGTAATATAAAACAAGTATAAATATACATTATAGATCCTTCTATATTTCATTATTTCGTTTTTATTTTCTAAATTATGAGAATTAACTTGTCAAATTAGTTTAACCACTTTAGTCAATTTTTGTTATTACTTAATATTTTTAATTTAAATTATTTTATTATTTTAAAAATAGATTAAATTAATCATAATATGAAAAAATCAAATGCCGGGACTGTGCAATGATGATTTGATGTTGCATACAAGGGTGCCAATTAGCACATTTCAGTAATCATCTTAATTTGAACTATCAATTTTGAATGGTTCAAATCCAATTTAATATTTTTATGTTATAAATATTTTTTATTTTGATATATGTAATTTAAGATAAAAATAATTTTATAAGAGACCCTTCTTTAAAAGATAAATTTATTATTAAAAAATAGCAAATTGAAAAATTTTAACCTGTTCTATTATTACGGCCGTGAGCACTAAATTAACCACTTGCGTGCATGTGTGCGCGCAGCAAGATAGTAGGCGCAAAATACTTTGTAGGGCATGGGTTTCCCATCAAAGATGATATTGGATCACCAAGGGATACAGATGGCCATGGCACTCACTGTGCATCCACAGCAGCAGGACTGGGTTAACTCAGCGAGTCTATATGGGCTAGGCTCCGGCACAGCAAGAGGGGGAGTCCCATCGGCTCGTATTGTTGCGTACAAACCTTGTTGGTCATCAGGTTGTCACGACTCGGAAATTCTGGCAGCATTTGACGAAGCAATCTCTGATGGCGTCGACATACTTTCTGTATCACTCGGCTCAACCTCGGTGATCCATCCTAACTTGTTTCAGGACGTATATGCCATTGGATCTTTCCATGCAATGAAGAATGGCATTTTAACCTCAATTGCTGTCGGCAACTCGGGTCCTGAGTTGTTCACCATGACTAGTTTTGCCCCCTGGTCGCTTTCAGTGGCTGCTTCCACTATTGATAGAAAGTTTTTCACCAGGCTTCAGTTGGGAAATGGCATGGTTTTTGAGGTAACGCTAATTTGATTGCTACTAAGAAATCTATGGGAATGGTTTGAGAAACACATATACGTATATGCAGGGAGTTTCGGTGAATACATTTGATCTTCATAATAAAACGTATCCTTTGATTTATTCTGGAGATGCACCCAATATCACCGGTGGTTTTAACAGTTCCATATCAAGGTATTAATGTTTTTATTTTAAAATATATTATGAATGATCATCCCAAGTATCCTATTATATTAACCAATGCTCATTTTGGACAGTTCTTGCGTTGAAAATTCTTTAGATGAAGCATTAGTGAAGGGGAAGATTCTTGTGTGTGATTCTGCTCCGAAACATAATGCGGCACAAAAGGATGGGGCCGTTGGGGTCATCGTTCCAATCATTTCCTCAAAAGACGTGGCACATGCTCTTCCTCTTCCCTTCACTTTGGTTAACCTCAGAAATGGAGAATCCATTCGCTCATACTTAAATTCAACAAGGTATACATCCATCCAATCACTAATGGCATCTGCGTCTGTGCCTGGGTGTGTGTGTGTGTGTGAATAAATTTACTGGCTTCGATCGTCGTTATTTTCTGTCATCTACCGAATAATTTTGCAGTAATCCGACAGCAACTATATTTAAGAGCAATGAAGGCAAAGATTCTTTGTCCCCATACGTGGCTTCCTTTTCATCAAGGGGTCCGAATCCAATTACTCCCGACATTCTCAAAGTACGTACGTAGGTTCCCAACTGCTTATAAACACTACTTGTATACGTATGGCAACCCTCGTCAAGAAACATTTGTGCGATTCAAACTATTTTGTTGTTGCCGTTAACTGCCCCAGGAGCAGATATCATAGCCGCTTGGCCTCCCAACTCCTCTATCTCTGGGGCAGCAGGAGACATAAGGGAATCAAACTTCAATATAATATCAGGAACTTCCACGGCTTGCCCTCATGTTTCTGCTGCAGCTGCCTAAGTTAAATCGTTTCACCCCACCTGGTCCCCTGCAGCAATAAAATCTGCCTTAACGACCACTGGTAAATATTAATCCACAAGTATATCAAATTGGCTTTAATTAATCAAGAAGATTCATAAAGCGCTTTGGTTTTTCTTTTCCTGTGGTTATTTCATGCTTGTTTCTCATAAAAAAACATATAATTGTAGCTGCTCCCATGAATCCTGAGCTCAACCCGGAAGCTGAATTTGCATATGGAGCTGGACAAATCAATCCCATTAAGGCATTGACTCCTGGTTTGGTATATGATATCAGTGAATCAGATTATGTGAGGTTCTTGTATGGACAAGGTTGTGATACAAAAACAGTGCGGCTCATTACAGATGATGACATCAACTGTGAGAAATAATAAATGAAACAGTGAGGGATCTCAATCTAGCTCCCGTCATTCGCTTTTATAACAGTCATCTCAAAACATTTTGAGCGTTGTGTTTCACAGGACAGTAATAAATGCTAGAACAGCTACGTCGGTATACAAGGCTAAGTGATTGTTCCTTCATCCCTGTTAACTATTCAAGTGACACCAGATTTTCTGCTTGTCGTTCTCATCTGCGGGTGAGATGAAATCTTTCACAGTTACTATTGAAGGACGCATAAATGTTCCGATAGTCTCTTCTGCGTCTTTGATTTGGGATTGATGGCAATTTCCCAGTGAGGAGCCCTATTGTAGTGTAGAGTGGACTTCA